AAAGCACCTGAAATGATGAGTGAATATACAACATAAATTATACCCAGCTACTTAGTGAAAAGTAAGCATAATTACCATATAGCATGATGCACATAGTGAGAACGCTGATGTCATGGTAAGAGTTATAGTGGATGAGTAAACTGACATCCCAAGCTAACTGGAGCAAACTACACATAGGGTGTACATACATGATGAAAATATAAACTGGAGGAACATCATACACCCCATGCACTATTGCTTATGACATGCATTTATTTACCCAATACCCATGCTTGCTATTAAGGTCTCTTTGTGAGACTGAATCACTTGTATCCAGTATTAGCCACTCTCCCGGAACCAGGTCTCAGTAAGAGCCGTATGCAGTTCTCCCGATCACTCCTGGTATTCTAAGCAACATGGGCGAAGGAACCCCAAAAAATCTGGGGGGGATAGCATTTTTACTCGCCGGGTATATTCTTATTCCGTAAACTAGGAGTTGTTTATCCCCTTGTACAGCGCTACGGAATTTGCTGGCGCTATATAAATGATAAAATAATAACATTAAAGGGTCACTACAGGGAAGGGGTTTTACTTACCCGGATACAGCGCCGGGATCCTCCTGATGCCGTGCCCCCAATTTCGTCAAAATGACGAAATAGGAGGGTGTGAGCAGGCAGCAATAAAACGCTTCTATTCAGAAGCATCATTGCTCCCTGGTGCGCATGTGCAGCTTTGCCGCACATGCGCAGATACTTCATAGGGCGGCATTCATGTCTCGACTAGGAAGCACCTCTAGTGGCCATCTGAGTGTCCATTAACCCCTTAAGGACTGGACTGTTTTTGCGATGTTGTACATTTGCGACCAGGCATATTTTTACACTTTTGTGGTGTTTGTGTTTGGCTGGAATTTTCCGCTCTCTCATTTACTGTTCCCATACAAATTATATATTGTTTTTTTCAGGACAAAAGGGGCTTTCTTTACATACCATTATTTATATAATCTCATGTATTTTAATTTAAAAAAAATAAAAAAATATGATGAAAAATTGAAAAAAATACATGTTTTTTGACTTTTACTTGAAAAATCTTTTACTCATCTACAAAAGCGAATTAAAAAAACTGCTAAATAGATTCAAAATTTTGTCCTGAGTTTAAAAATACCCCGTGTTTACATGCTTTTTTGCTTTTTTTTGCATGTTATAGGGCTATAGGTACAAGTAGAATATTGCGGTTTCAAAACATAAATTTTTAATTTATCAATAGTGACATTGTAACACTATTATCTGTCATAAATCTCTGAATAACACCCACATGTACATATTTTTTTTAAAGTAGACAACCCAGGGTATTCAATATGGGGTATGTCCAGTCTTTTTTAGTAGCCACTTAGTCGAAAACACTGGCCAAAGTAAGCATTCATATTTGTTTGTGTGTGAAAAAAGTAAAAAAACTAAATTGAGCGCTAATTTTGGCCAGTGTTTGTGACCAAGTGGTTACTAAAAAAGACTGGACATACCCCATTTGCAATACCTTGGGTTGTCTTCTTTTGCAAATGGTATGCCATCATGGGGGTAATTCTCATTCCTGGGCTACCATACGCTCTCAAAGGCAAGGTAAGCAACCTGGCCATTTTCAATGTAAAAATATTTGACCCATATATTTGACCTTGTAACTTTCAAAAATACTATAAAACCTGTACATGGGGGGTACTGTTTTACTCAGGAGACTTTGCTGAACACAAATATTAGTGTTTAAAATCTGGAAAACGTATCACAACAATTATATCATCAGTAAAAGTGCTGTTTGTGTGTGAAAAAAGTCACTTTCACTGACAATATCATCGCTGTGATATGTTTTACTGTTTTGAATCACTAATATTTGTGTTCAGCGAAGTCTCCCGAGTAAAACAGTACCCCTCATGTACAGGTTTTAGGGTGTCGCAGAACGTTACAGGGTAAAATACAGTGCTAGCAAATTCAATTCTCTGGAATTTCGGCCTGGGTTGGCAGGCAGGTCCCTTAAATTGCAATCAATAAAATTACTGAATTATGTAAAACTATTACATAAATAGGCACGTAGAATTTAAATATATATGCATATTTATATATTTGAAGTCTACGTGTATATTTATATAATTATGTATGTAATTTTGTATATGGACATATGTATATTTCTTATTATTTTTATTTATTTTTATATACATAGATATATATACAAATTCATTCTAAGTGTATTTTGATATAAATATATATATATTAATTTTAAAATACAGTTAGAATAAAATTTCATATAGCTATATAATTTTTTTTAAATTTTTTATTATTATTTAAAAATTTTTTTATTTAATTTAAATTACTTATTATTTATATTTTATAATAATATATATATACAATATATATAGTTATTATATATATTATATATATACGTGTGTAATTTAATTATAAGTGTATTTTTATATTAATATAAGTACATATAAAAAGACACTTTCAGAAGTGCATTCCATACATTTTACTACCCGTCTCTACCCCTTCCATTTATATTAGAACCCCACCTACCCCTTCCATGATTAGAACCACCCCTACCCCTTCCATGAATATTAGAACCACCCCTACCCCGTCGATGCACATAAGAACCCCACCTACCCCTTCCATGCATATTAACCCCCCTACCACTTCCATGCATATTAGTACCCCCGTAACCACTTCCATGCATATTAGAACCCACCCTACCCCTTCCATTCATATTAGTACTCCCCTAACCCCTTCTAATTATTTTTCTATCTTAACCCTCCTCCCATCCATATTAGTAGCCCCCCTAAACCATTCCAATTATTTTTCTACCTACCCCTCCCCCATCCATATTAGTAGCCCCCTAACCCCTTCCAATTATTTTTCTACCTACCACTCTCCCCCATCCATATTAGTAGCCCCCCTAATCCCTTCCAATTATTTTTCTACCTCCCCCTTCCTCCCATCCATATTAGAAGCAACCCTAACCGCTTACATTCATTTTTCTACCTCCCCCCTCCTTTAACCCTTCCATTAATTAACACAAAAAAATGCTCAGGCAGCTGTTTTTTTTTTCTTTTCAAAGGTGACCGGCTCTGCTCTCCCCCCTACAAACTGTTGTCCCCCCCTTTTACCTGACATAGAAGGGGGACCTCTGAACGTCCGGCGGGTGCAGTGTCAGACTGAGCGCCGGGTAGTCACGTGACACCCAGCGCTCCTGCACCGAGTGGGAGGTGCTCCCCTTCCCAGTCTGCAGTGCGTGCAGTTCCCTGATGGAGCCACACGCAGCCTGAGGGCTCCCGCGGCCGGCGGAGCTGGGGGAGGGGGGGGATTTCTCTATAACCTGTCCCCCCTGCATGATTTCCTGGCGGAACGCCCCCCCCACCCCCCTCCATCTCCCCCGGTTCCTACGTCCCAGGATTGCGAAAGAGGGCGTTGGACAACTTGGGATATGTATGGATGCCGGAAAAGCAGGATATCCTCCCCTGAATCCTCCGACACTTGTAAACGAGTTAATGCCCCTAAGGACAGCCAGTGAATGCATGTGTCTGTCAGTGTGTCTGAATGATTGTGTGTGTCTGTCAAAGTGTGTCAAATCAGTAAATGTGTGTGTCTGTCAGTAAATTAATGTCAGTGTTTGTTTATCTGAGAGTGTGTGCCTGCCTGTCAGTCAAAGAGCGAGTTTGTCTTAAATAGGAAGAGGTGCGGCCTTGACAGAAAGGGGTGAGGCAAATTTACATTAGGGAGGTGCCCGAGTCTAGCTTTAAAGGACCACTATAGTGCCAGGAAAACATACTCGTTTTCCTGGCACTATAGTGCCCTGAGGGTGCCCCCACCCTCAGGGACCCCTCCCGCCTGCTCTGAAGGGGAAAGGGGTTAAACGCATCTTTTTCCAGCTGGGCGGGAGCTCTCCTCCTCCCTTCTCCTTCTGTCGGCTGAATGCGCACGCTGCGTTGCGCCGCGCTACAAGTATTCAGTCATGCTCCATAGGAAAGCATTCATAATGCTTTATAGACGCCATGCGTTCTCACTGTGAAAATCAGTGAGAAGCACGCAAGCGCCTCTAGTGGCTGTCAATGAGACAGCCACTAGAGGATTAGGGGAAAAGCTTAACCCATTCATAAACATAGCAGTTTCTCTGAAACTGCTATGTTTATGAAAAAATGGGTTAACCCTAGCTGGACCTGGCACCCAGACCACTTCATTAAGCTGAAGTGGTCTGGGTGCCTAGAGTGGTCCTTTAATACAAAATACACCACTGACACACACAAACAGCTCCACTACCGAACCCTCGGCAGTTCCATATTAAAGCTGGGAGGAAGTGATATTTATAATATCACATTCTCCACTTTTGCTGTCCGCGAAGGAGCTGTAAAGGCTCCAATTTGATCTAAAGGACCCTAATGCTGCTGGCCAATGTGATCCGTTTAGAGGGGTTATGTATCTATATCTCAGCCAGATTACTACGCACTACAGGGCCCCACGTGGTTGAGGATAATACAAAGCAGAGGTCCTCATATGACCACTTGACATGGTACACAGCCCAGCAATGACTGTGAACATTGTTTAGTATCAATATCTTTCTCAGTTTTTCTTAAAACAAAGGTCACTGAAAATTGACCCAAAGTAGCTTGGTCACCACTAACCTACCTTTCTCCTATTGCTTCCTCTGTCAGAATCTGTTCTTCTTTTATGGTCTATTTCTCTTTACAATAGAAGACAAAGTACTGCCTACTTGATTGTACCGACTTTGTCTTATTTTAGATTTTAAAAAAAATCAGAAATAAAGAACCGATTAAGAGAGAGGAGGAGAAGAGGAAACACTATTAGAAAGGTAAGTTTGAGGTGACAGCAGAGCTACTTTACTGAAAGTCCGACATTATCATTATTATTATTATTATTAATTTCAGGGTCAGTGTGAGCCTCTGTTCCTGATCAGGAAGGCTCCCACGTGTTCCCTGAGACCCACGTGGTTTATTGTGTGTGAGTGAGTCAGCGGTGTAACTCCGCCCAGGACCGCTTCACACACACACACTGCGCTCAATCCGCTCTCTATGACCTTGTGGCTGGTATCTCCTGCTGCCGTCATACCGGGCGCCCATTCACCGGGCTGACAGGCGGACACTCCCCCTCCATGGACCAGGCTGTCTGTGACCCCCTCTCCCACCGCCACTAGCATGCCATGGAGCCGCTGGAGGAGCGTGCCCGCCGCCGGGGCATCATGCTGCTCTCCGGGGGAGGCTGGCTCATACCCACCTGCCTGCTGTGCACATACGGCTTCTTCGCCAACCTGCGCCCGTCCGAGCCCTTCCTCACCCCCTACCTGCTGGGTCCGGACAAGAACCTCACCGAGAGACAGGTACCGTGCTGGGCAGGGAGAGCTGGCATCATACAACCACAGGGCTGTATGAGGGGGTCACAGCATCACCACAATATTCATAGAATATATTATATATACTGTGTTCATATACAACACTCAGAGTGTTAGAACTAACTTTATATATCACATTATTATTATTATTATTATATAAATGGAGTATAATATTACAACTAACTTTTATATATCACATTATTATTATTATTATTATTATATAAATGGAGTATAATGTTATAACTAACTTTATATATCACATTATTATTATATAAATGGAGTATATTGTTATAACGTGTTATATAACTACATTATTATATAGTATAATTATTGGAATTTACTATGTTACTATACAACTAGGTGATATAACTTCAATATCAGTGAGTGACTAATCTTATGTCATATTTATAGAAATATACAGTAAATGATGCTCCCATATAGTGACACAGCTTCACATCACAGTGTATTTACAGCAAAATCTACAATGGTGCAGTATTTTTGGTGCACACAGGGTGATACAGTGTATCGATCAGAGTAATTGCATTGATCCCTTCAGGTGTTGTTGTAAAAACTATTGTTGTCCTAACGTAACACTCCCTTATTTATGAGAACTCTACGGTATGCTTTCCATGGAACTTCATAGCAGGTTATATCTGTCTGTACTACGTTCGGAGAATATCCTAGATTAAAGATTCTATTCAGTATGTCTACTGTGCTTAAATGGTAGTATTTCAGCAAGTTTCCTATTTCATTGGTGCTCCATCTCTCATTGAGTAATAAAGAGACTGCATGCAATAGTTGGGTAACACGTGTCTATCCGGTGCTGACAAACTCATCTGTTAATGTATGAGAGTTCCTTCACACTACAAGCATTTTAAACGAAAACCTAATATTTAATATTCATGCATATTTTGTAGCTGTTTTACTACCACAGTGTTTAGATGTAATGCTGTACCTATAGTTACAATTATGCCAAGTCATGGTTGTCATTGTGACAGGTGCACTTTTTGTACAACGTGAATATATCTTTTTTTTTTTTTTTTTTTTCAAAGTGCTTTTTTTGTGTCAACAAAAACGTAAAGGTCACCAGAGTAATTTTTGTTTTAAATGACTGTGTCTTTTATGGATCAGTTTATTTTAAAAATAAAGTGTTAAAGTTGCTTAAGCAGCCTAACGACAGGTTATTTAAAGGGACAGTATAGGCACCCAGACCACTTTGTTGCGATGAAATGCTTTTAGTGTTGGTCACTCTCAACCATTACGGTCTCCTCCATCCTAATAGAGTGAATATGAAGTAAAATGCAATTAAATTGTGTTGTTGCTCAGCATGTTCCTGTAAAATCCCAAAGATGACTTGATTTTTTTTTTTCTTTTTTCTTTTTTTTTTTTAAATCACCGCTATATCACAGTATGCAAAATTAAATAACGGATTTACTGATTTAAAGCCGCACTGTCACCCAAGTCCCCTGACAGTGACATCGCCTCTGGGGGGGGCAGGTAAATGTGAGTTTACTTACCTGAACCTGTCACTAGCCGACGCCACCATTTTGACCCCGCAGGTTCTCTTCGGAGCCGACATCACTGCTACTTTTGCACATGTACAATATTGAGACCTCTGGAGCATCCTCCATAGACACTGCCAATTCCCTGCAACCGCCAGGTTTAATCAGATTGAAAAGTATATTACCAATCATTTCACATGTAGGGGTAACCAGATCTGTTGGTGAAAACACCAGCTGTAGTAACTACTCTTTTCTTTTCTACTTCTTGCAGAATGTTTTTTACATTTTAACTTTTTTTTTTTTTCAGGTTTTTAATGAAATATATCCTGTTTGGACATACTCCTATTTGGCGTTGCTGTTCCCCGTGTTCTTAGCAACAGACTTTCTCCGTTATAAGCCGATCATTATTTTGCAAGGTTTGAGCCTAATTGTTACCTGGTTCATGCTTCTATATGCACAAGGAACCCTAGCCATTCAGTTCCTTGAGTTTTTCTATGGTATTTCAACTGCATCAGAGGTAGCTTATTACTCTTATATCTACAGTGTGGTTGACTCTAAGGTCTATCAAAAAGTTACCAGCTATTGTCGTACGGCCACGTTGGCTGGTTTCACTGTTGGTTCTTTTACCGGCCAGATTCTTGTTTCAGTGGGCAACTGGTCTCTGTTCCATTTGAATGTGATTTCCTTGACCTGCGTCTCTGTTGCTTTTGCCACTTCATGGTTTTTACCAATGCCAATGAGAAGTCTATTTTTTCACCAAAATGCAAATCGTCGTGCCAGTAAGCTAATGCAAGTTAAAGGTTCTTCAAACAGAAGCTGTATTAAAAATGAAGATTTGGCAAGAGTTTCTGAGTCAGAAGATCTCGAAGCACAGGTCCCGTTAAACCATAAAGCTCACTCCACTGATGATCGGGTAAGGAAGTTTGCATTTCTTTCTCATGGGGGAAAAAAAACATTTTTAATTTTCTGGGGGTTTACATTCTAATTGACTTGTGGTTCCTAAACATAGTTTTTTAGTTATAATCTGCTTGCATAAACAGGTTGGGAATCCCCAAAAGATTTAGATTGGTTAATATGACTCCTTAATTTGCATTAACTCAAGCAGGGACCCAGTTTGAGGACCAATTAAAGCTGGTAAATAGTTATAGAATTCAGTACCGTATAAGTTTCCTGTGTAAACTCAGCATCGATCTTGAGAGTTCTTGTTCTAGATTGTAACCAGCATTATTGCTACTAAGCTGTGCTCCGCACTTAACCAATAGCAACTTCAAAATAATTTAAACATATTACCATCAAGGGGTCACTCTGTGCTGGATTCATCATTGCAAAGGTCCTGTTGCAGGTAGTTTCGTGCTCCCACTTTCCCTGTTAAGAGTTGTTTATATATGCAGTGATTTGTAAAACTAACAGATTCAAATGCTGAACCTGAAAATGTTTACAAGAACAAACTGAATCGGTAATCAAGAATAATGAGGCAGATTTAACCCCTTAAGGATGTTAGGGCATTCCATGCCATCTTCCACAGTTTGCTTTAAAGGGACACTGCAGGCACTATAACCATTTCATCTAATTGAATTGGTTATAGTGCTTGGAGTCCTCTGGCACTAGCGCTCCAGTGTTTTTAGCCATTTTCGAGTACTTTTACAGAGCCTGGCCCTACTCAAGGTATGGCTAAGAGGGAGATTACATATTTCTATTTAGTCCTAGTAATTCATACCAGCAATAGGTGCCATAATAAGCTGAATGCAGTCAGCTGGCACTGAGCCAATCACAGATTCTCGTTGCTGCTCAGGCTAATGTTTCCTCGTTAGTCCAAGCAGTGCAGAGGGAATGGGTTGACGGGAACTCTTGTCTATCATAAAAAATGTTATTCTGAATGAAAGGATGGTGTCAGTGGACTTCAGACCCTATAACCACTTCAATGAGATGAAATGATGATCGTTCCTACAGTGTTGCTTTTATAATGTTAAGAGAACATGAAAAATACTAATATTTTGGTGTGAGCCGGGTTTAATCAAATCCTGGGGTAAAAAAAAACCCTGACTGCATTTATATATGCTGATGGTCAACCAGCACCATATCCGGGTGACTGGCAGGAAGGAAGTAACTCCATGTAATGTTTCTCAGAAGCCCGGCAAGGCCACGTTCCCCTCCCCCGCCCCTCCCGTGGTACACCAAGATCACAACCTTGTCGCTGGTGGTATACTAGGCATTAATAATGTGCTCGGATGTGAAGTGGAATTTCGTTTCTCTTCTTGGCACCTCCAATGGCACATCTGGTGGGAACAAAAGTAATTACAGGAGAGCCCGCAGTGATGACATCCGCCCCATATTGACACATGACCACATGTACCTCTGGCTGACTGCAGTTACACTTGCAATCTCAAAACCTCTGTGCAATAAGGTACGTTTATTAGATTAGACACACACACACACACACACACACACACACACACGGGAAGAATGAGAAAGAAGAGCGGAATAAGTGATGGAGGGGGGAATGAGAAGAGAAAAACAAAGGGGTGGTGGTAGGAGAAGAGATAAACAAGTGAGAGAAGGGGAAATTAACAAGTGAGACCTTCGTGGGTAAGGGAGAAATGTGGAGAAAGGCGAAGAGAAACACATGTACAACATAGGGTTGGAGCCACAAGGAGGCTATCAGAAACAGTTGGTGCAAAAGCCACAAGAGAGGTGTGAGCATGACCATACCAAGACAACGGTCTCATATTCCAACTGTGACGCTCTCAACACAATCTGTCCAAAAAATGGGAAATTCATTCCACTTTGTTACATTCTGTTAACTATCTATAGAGTTTGGCTACTTTCATGTGGAGTATAAAACAAAACTTCTGCATCCAATCCACATTAGAGCTGTGATCAGAGAAATAAGTAAATCACTGGTCCTCTTAATGCACGCTGTTTTGTTTATAGCAGTTCAGCTCACTCAGTGTTGTCAAAATAAGAAATTCTTTAACCAGGTTTATGTTCTGCATCCTTAATGAGAGGGGGACAAATGAGAGTGGTTTACATCCTACAAACTTTATATTTGGTTCACAGGTTTTGGATTATTACTACTCTATAAAAATGTTAATATGCAAAATTACGAAAACATGCCCCCATTGTTTGTTATATATTTATATGCAATGTTAGGTCATCTTTACATGTATTTAAGGTAAAGCATGCCCCACCTTTCCTTTTTAAAAAGTCATACCAATATGTTCGGCAGCATGGAATAGAAAAGCGGAAATACTACAAAAGAAAAATCATTATGCCCTATTAGTTGACCAAATTTGGAAATATGTATATAAAAAATAAAATCTGATTTTAAAGGAGCACTGTAGTGTCAGGAACACAAATATGTATTTCTGACACTATAGTTCTAATATCACGATTTAGGCCATCATCCCCCACCTGCCAGGAAATTAAAAGGGTTACAACTTTTTAAAAAAATTTTTTTTACATTTCACATTGAGGCACAAGCACCTCACTAAGGACCCACTCCCTAGATTTGTGGGACAGACTCAAAATTAAATCTGAGTTCACCTCATTCCTCTCACCACTAACGACAATACTGCGCAACAAATTATTCCCGCCAGGCCAGATAGCTTGCCATTTTCGCAACTACAAAAAAAATTAAAAAAAATATATATATATATATATATATATATATATATATAATTCACGCTGACCTCCCAGACAAGGATGGACTGCAAACTACAGACTTTTTTTTTCGCTTTCTCCAATTACGAGACTTGGCAAATAACAGCAGGCACGGCGGCACCCACAACATTCAAATGACAAAGCATGGACTCCCCCATATGTAAAGAGCAAATTTCCACACTGAACATATTCTTAACACACACTTCACAACTCAAATTGCCATACATCAAAGCCTGGGAACAAGACCATGGCCTGCCAGATGACCCAACTGCCTGAACACCAAACACCCCCGTCCCAGTTTTATTGTAAAGAACACCCTTTGGCACTAGCATTGCACTCCCTGACCATGGTCCAACCAGAACCCCGCAAAGCAATGGACTTGACGTTGCCCAAAGACCCATAACCCCCTAAAGGAAACACTCGCAACTGCATGCACGGCCTAGCCCCCATGAGGCGACACCTAAAAAAAACCAAAACTGTACACTACCCACTCACTAGTTTGTAACCATCAGCTAAACTCCCTTGCTATATGAAGGGTTAATGGCATAGCTGTAATTGCTGTTTGCTTGACATATTGTAACTGTGCCGTACCCTATCCACTCTTTTCTGTATCCCATTTACTTTGGAAAAACCTCAATAAATAATGTTTGAAAAAAGTGCACTATAGTGTCAGGAACTCAAATATGTATTCCTGACACTATAGTTCTAATATCACTATTTAGGCCCTCACACCCCCTGCCAGGAAAGTAAAAGGGTTACAACATACCTTTTTCAAGTGCATTTGGCTCTGCCCCTGATCCACCTCCTTCGCTGACAAAATTGATGATCTCAGCCAATCCCAATGCTTTCCCGTCTGCATCTCCTCAGAGAGATGCATTGAATCAATGCGTCTCTTGAACTCAACTATACGTGATTAGTCTATTTAACTGAAGGCAGTTCCCCTTTCAATGATTTCATCATTGGCTATGTATTTCTTTTTTTTTTCTTTTTTTTTCAATTTGACAATTTTTATTATCTTTTCAAAATTCTTAGTGGGGTACAGAAGAGAAGTGGGGAAGGGGGAGTACCATCAGGTGTTATAGACATGGTTAAGTATTGCTTTGTACATTACACATTCCTAACAATGCTATGGAATATTGATACATTCACAGATAAACTCTACCTCGCCCTATGTTTCTTCCTTGTACCCGCCTCTGTGTTTCGTGGGTCGGTAGAGGGGAGGGGGGAGGGGGGGTTAACTTATGTACACGTGTGGGTTCTCGTTGTCGTTGTGTTTTCCTGCGTTTTCCTTCTACATGTGTGTAAGCTCGTGATGTGAGCTCTCTCCCTGGCATTCTTGTCTCTGTTTCTCACTGGCCAGTTCTTAGCGTTCTACCGGGCCTCTATTGCTGTGCAGCTTCGGCTGCCTGATGTTTCACCGTGTTCCAATATGTGTCCCAGATGTGACCTGCCTCTGTAGTTACTCCCTTCTTTTCTAGCTGGCGGGCCGCCATGTACTTGTATTCCCAGTTCAATTGGATTTGGGCTAACAGACTGGCTTTTGTGGGGGCAGTTCTAGATTTCCATTGTTTTGCTATGAGATTACATGCCGACACTATCGTGTGGAATAGAAGTTTGTCATGGACCTTGGACATGTCTTCTGGCCATATGTACAATAGACACATTGCTGGGGTTAAGTTTAATTTTATAGGTAGTAGCTGATCAATGATTTTGTTCACTATGTTCCAGTAGGGTCGAATATCCCTGCACTCCCACCATATGTGCAATAGTGATCCCCTTTCCAGTCCACATCGCCAGCATTGGGCTGAAGTGTCTGGAAATATATGTGCGAGCCTCGTTGGGACCAGGTACCACCTATATTGTAGTTTCCTTATTTGTTCAAGGTGCGTGATGCATGCGGTGTTGCCTTTGTGGATTGTAAAGGCTCCCGACCATTGATGCTCTGAGAAAGTGCATCCTAGGTCCTTGTGCCATGCCTGTATGAAATTGTCTGTGGAGTTATGTGTGCCTGCTAGTAGCGCTCCATAAACTCTTGAAAGGGTTCGTTTGTGTGGGTCTCCTCTGAGGCACCACGTGTCGTAGTTGGACACCGCGGGTGTCCTAGGTGGGGGGGGGGGGTGTTGTTGTAGCATTGATTTGATCTGTAAGTATGAGAAGAGTGCTCTATTTGGTATTTTGTACTGTGCTTGTATGTCCGGAAACTGTTTAAGAGAGGGTCCGTTGTACAGGTCGTGTATGTGCGTGCACCCTGCTGCTGTCCATGTCCTATAGTCAAATGTTTGGTTTCTCAGGTATATGCTATACATCGTTGAGGCTAGTGATGGGTCCCCTGTGCCGCTGAGGTGCGCTCTGCTTGTGTCCCACGTGTGCAACAGTAGTTTTGTGGTTTTCAGCATATGGGGTGTTGCTGGTCTCAGGTGTTTTGGTACCCAGAATAGATGGTGCATCCCAGCCCTGCACGACTCATGGGTTTCAATAGCTATCCATTGTGGCGGGTTTCTTACCCTGTGCGCCGTGGCTACCGTGGATAGAAGTGCCGCCTTGTAGTATAGTTTAATATCTGGAAAACTCATGCCCCCTTTCTCTACTGGCTTTTTGATCGTGGAGAGTGCTACTCTAGGAGTTTTATTTGCCCATGTGAATCGTGTGATGGTTTTTTGTAACGTGGTCATGTATTGCCTAGGGATGGGGATCTGCAGTGAACGGAATAAGTACTGTAGTTTAGGCAGCAGTGACATTTTAAATGCCGCTATACGTCCGTGCCACGAGTGGAAGTCACTGTTCCACTGGTCGAGCGTCTGTGTTATTTCGTGTGATAGTTTCTCGTAGTTGTATTTAAACATTTGGTGGGTCGTCCTGGCTAGGTTGATCCCTAAAAACTTTATGTAATCGTCTCTCCAGTCAAAGTTGAAAGATTCCGTCAGAGTTTGAAGAGTTTGTCCCGGGAGGTGGATTCCCATTGCCTGTGTTTTTGTAAGGTTAAGTTTGTAATACGATACTTTGTTATAGTCTTGTATGCACTGTAGGAGGTTGGGTATGGATATTTGCGGTTGCGTCAGGGTTAGGAGTATGTCGTCCGCAAAGAGGCTGAGAGTGTACTCTCCGTCTCCCACTCGGACTCCGTGGCCCGCCAGGTGGTCCCTAATCGTAACAGCCAATGGCTCTAGTGCCAGCACGTACAGCAGAGGGGACAGCGGACACCCTTGTCTCGTCCCATTTGTAATTACTATTTTTTTGGATACGAATCCTGAGTTTAAGACCTGGGCCCACGGTGCTGAGTATAGCGCTCTCACCACCGAGATGAAGCTTCCCGGGATCCTGTATCGCTTTAGGGCCGCCTCCAGAAACCTCCATCCCAGTCGGTCAAAGGCCTTTTCTGCGTCTAATGATAGCAGGATCCCCCCCCCCCGCCTGTGTTGTCCCTAGGCTTTGCATAAGGTTTAGGACTTTTCTGGTGTTATCTGCTCCCTGTCGCCCTGTTACAAACCCCACTTGGTCATTATGTATAATATGTGGCAGTATTGGTCCCAGTCTTAATGCGTAGAGTTTGGCTAGTATTTTAGTGTCCGTGTTAAGAAGGGATATAGGACGGAAGTTTTGCGGCTGGGTCGGAGGTTTACCCGGCTTGGGTAGGGGGATAATATGGGCCAATTGCATCTCCCCCGGGAGGGTTTCTGTGCATACGGCTTCATTGAATACTTCTGCTAGATAGGGTGCTAAGATGTCTTTAAATGTCCTGTAGTATGAATTGGCGAATCCGTCTGGGCCCGGGGCCTTGCCTTTTGATAGTGACTCTATCGTGTCGCTTACCTCCTCTGGGGTAACCTGCCTAGATAGTGTTTCTTGTTGTTGAGTCGTTAGGGTCGGGAGTGTTATTTTGTCTAAGTACTCCGTTATGTCTGTATCTGTCGGGGAGTGTATGTTGGGATCCCGTTGAAGGTTGTATAAGTCCCCGTAATAGTGTGCAAATTCGTTACTAATTGCGAGAGGTGTCATCACCCTCCCTCCCGTTTTTGAATGCAAAAACGCTATTTTCTGTGTTTGCTGTCGTTTTTTTCAACCTTGAAGCTAGCAGTTTACCCGCTCTATTCCCTTGTGAGTAGTGTGTAGCTTTCAACTTCCTTAAGGTATATCCTACTCTGTCGAGCGCATTTTGGCGGAGTTGTTGGCGCACCTTTGATATTTGTTCCTTCAATTGGTTCGTGGGGTGGACTTGGTTCTGTAATGTCAGGGTGTATATGTCTTTAGCTGTTCATAATTATTTTTGCTCTGTTTTCCTACACATACACGTTATAGCCACTTCGGGGTTTTAATTATGTCGCTTGAACGCATGCGCAGGACGCAGACCGGCTTTGCTTGCCGGATATATTGGAACACATATCTATGGCCATACCAGTCTGAAAATGCCTGATCTCGTCAGATCTCAGAAGCTATCCAGACTTAGGCCTGGTTAGTACTTGTATGGGAGACCAACTAGGAACCTCCATTTCATTCAGCCGATTCCCGGGTTCGGCAACTTGAAACGCATGCTGCTGCTCGCACCTCGCTTTCACTCAGGAATGATTGAATTTTATCTTTTCCAGTAGCCTGATCGGCTGATCTCTGTTCTGGGTGTGTTGATTTCTTTTATGTGTATGTAATATGTTTTACTTTTTGTTTATGTGAAGACCTTTGGTCTGTTCAATTGAATATGCTGTTATTTGTAATAGGATTTATTTTTTACAGTATTGCTTACCATGGCACTGATGATGATCTGTTACTGTCTTTAATGCATGCATATATGGATGTCTTTAATTTGATTTGTACTATTATATTTATTTGCAACTCTTCTTGATGCTATATATGTATGATAGGTGTGTATATACTTGGTTTCCTTGGTAACCATAAACAGGTGTTTGATGGTTGGGAGGATCTCAATCACTATGGGTGGCCACCCATTACTTTCAGGTGTTTTTAATTTTGGTGTTTCCTGTGGGTATATAAGGGGAGAACTTAGTTTCTCAACATGCTCCCTTGACAAAGGCTTTTCAGCCGAAACGTTGTTTTTTTTTTTTTTGATTGACTCTGTCCCTACTTCTCACTGAATTTGGTATGGTTTGCTACATTTTTTTTATATGTCTGGGTTTTCATTATACTAGTATTATAGAGGACTGTTTGCATGATATTTCTTTCATTCATTTATTACGCATTGAGCGTTTATATTTGCCTATATAATTGCTTTTCTGGTAAATGCTTTTGAATAGCATGACTTTGTACCTCTGTGGATAATATTTAAAGAGACAGTCCTATAGTATATACCCATTTAATAAAGATTTATATATATATATATATATATATATATATATATGATTTATGGTTGTGCTCCTTACTCTATTCACACGTATATGTCTTTCTGCCATTGTAATATCTGCGTCTGCGTTTTTCTTTTTAGGTATGCTGCTCTCTTTATAAGGAGTCCCTGGGTTACCGTTTTATGGGCCTGCCATATTGTGTGGTGTTGTAGATCAGGGTTGGCATTATCTGTAAAGTAATGTTGTAAGGAGTCAGAAACACTCTCCGAGAAGGACTTGTCCAACAGGAGGGTTTAATTGAGTCGCCAAGGACTCCTGTGTTTAAAATCATAGGTATCCCTTAATGTCAGTTCCATAGGAGCGTGGTCAGACCATGCTATCTGTCCCACTCTGCAGTCCACTATCTGCTCAAGTGCCCCTCCCACCACCAGGATCGCGTCTATTCTCGAGTAGGTATTATGGACCTGTGAGTGATGAGTGTATTCCTTATCCTCTGCGTGTGTGACTCTCCATGCATCATAGTAATGGTGCAGGGCCAGTAGTTTCGCTAGTGTTGCGCTTTGCCACTTAAGTGGTCTGTATCTCGGGCTATTTTGAGAGAGTGTGGTGTCCAGGGCCGGGTTAAGAACATGGTTTAGGTCCCCACATATTATTGTCGTGCCTTGTTGGATATTGGATATTCTGGAGATTATTTTGTGTATAAAATTCCTCTGATTGGTGTTGGGGGCATATACGTTAGCTATTGTGTATAAGACATTATTTATGTTCCCTACTACGATGACATATCTGCCTTCCCTATCTGTATCTTCAGTTATCAGTTCAAAAGCCACCTTTTTACTTATCAGTGTAGAGACTCCTTTCGATTTGGTGTTAGACGTGGAGTGGAACTGGTGAGGGTGTGACTTGGTCAAAATGCTGGGATGGGTATTGCCTCTGAAATGTGTTTCCTGTAGACACACTATGTCAGCATCTAGTTTCCCAATGTCCCTCCCCAGGAGGTGCCTTTGTACTGGGAGGTTGTGTCCTCTCACATTATGGCTGTAAAACTTTATGGTGGTATATATGGGAAAGTGTTGCTCTTGCTTATTTTGTATTGATCTATCATGAGTCTCTGCCCTCCCCAGCTGTTTCGAGCCGGGCAGATCTCTATTGCTGTGACCCTTAGGTTAAGTATAGGGCATGTCATCCCAAGGTCCCTCTTCGGTGGGAGGAGCTCATGCCGTGCTGAGGTGTAGAAGTTAGGTAGCGTGTTTGGGCCGCCCACTAGGCCCTGAGGTGGGGGGAGTGGTTTGGGGGGTGGGGGGGGGCGATATAACAGTACAATTGGAGGTTACTGAATCCTCTGTCTTGCAGAGTTCGAACTTATATACAATCTTAAACAGAAATGCCAGATTTATGGCAAGGTTCCCGTAAGGGGAACCGTGGGGGTCGGAGCGTATCGCTTCGATCCTGGTTAGGGTGCTGCCGCGAGGGTGGCCCTCATGGTGTGTATTGGTGTGTTTGTTTGTTTGTTGACCCGTTCAACGGTATCATGTCTGTACATTGAGGACAATATAATATGGTAAGCCATCCAGCTTTAGTAGTAAGTGGCCCCAGGGTCATGTTTGGGTATTGTGCTTATGCCTGCCTCTCCGTACCGTACGTGGTGGGGTTGTTTATATAATTTTTTTTTATTTTTTTTATTTTTTTCTTCTCCCCACTTCTATCAATTGGTAGTACGGTTTGGAAGGGATCATGTACAGGCTGCGGTGGAGGTCTGCTTGTCCCTTGGTTAACAGTTCACAGTGTGTGTGGGATATCAGTTCCCCCCCCACCCTTTACCCTAGCCTTGTGTAGCTAGTCTCGTAGCTATATTTACAAATTATTTAGTGTGTCATGGGCTGGCTGTGCAATGTTGTTGTTAGTAGTGCAAGAACAAGATATACTTGCGGACATTAGTAAAGTTCATTGGAGCGTCATTTTCAGGTGGCTATTTTCGTGCCTTCTTCCAAGCTGAGAGTTGTCGCCCGTTGGGTGCAGGTCTTGGTTTCTCAGTTGGTGGAGTGATACCCAATTCCTGCAGCTTTTGAAGGCCTTCCTCTGGGGACATGATGGTTGTGAGAGCGCCGTTACGTTGGATGAGAAGTTTAGTCGGATATCCCCATCTGTATGCTATGTTGTTGCTGCGTAGGGCTTCTGTGATGGTGCCGAATGACTTCCTTTTTCGTAGTGTCATGGCCGAGATGTCTGCAAAGATCCCAATCTTCTGATATTCCACTGGTATTTCTTTTCGGACTCTGCTCGCCTTGAGAACCGCCTCCTTTGCGTGATAGTAGTGCATCTTCAATATTATGTCTCATGGTATGTCTGCAGGTAGGTATGAGGGTTTCGCCACCCTGTGTATCCGGTCCATCAACAGGACATCTTGCGGTAGATCGGGTACAAGCATGTGGAAGAGCCCCGTGGCGTATACGGGCAAATCCGCTGGGCCTATGCTTTCGGGCACGTTCCGCAGCCTCTTGTTGCTGCGACGCGCGCGGTCTTCCATGTCTGCAATCTTGGCCTCATAGTCATTCAGCCGGTCCCATACCTCTTCCACTTTAGTGGTTAGGCGGGTTTGTGCCTCCATCTGGTTTTCCAGGTCTGAAGTGCGAGAGCTCAGTTTGTGTATATCCGTGCAGAGGTCTGTGAACGATCGCTGCAGCGTGCCCTGTAGCTTTGCCGCCATATCATCGAACATCGCTTGCAGGCCCTCCGTGGTGAGCATGAGGTTTGCGGTCTCGGTTTGCATACTTTGTGCGCCCTCCATTTCGGCGCCATCTTGTTGTTCCTCCGGTATAGTGGCTCCTCGCGTGTGCCCCTGTTTGGCACTAAAAAAGAGCAGTTTATCTTGTTTGTCGGATGCCCGTTTGCTTTTGTTGTGGGACATAGTGATAGCGTGTCCCAATGTTCAATTTGCTGCAGTTTCGGGTCGTCAATGCTGCATGAGGGCCTTAACTTTCCCGGAGCTAGCAGAGCATGCGACCGCTTGCGTTCACGTCCAGGCCACGCCCCCCCGGCTATGTATTTCTAATGGTATACAACAAACAAAATGTGTGTGTGTGTGTGTGTTGCAAGATACAAAGAATGTAGTTACACATTTGTAACTAACCCATCTGATGTATAATCTGCTTTCATCAATCCAGCCTCACTTAAAGCCTCACCTGAGTTGACATTACATAGTTTGCTTTCAGTACAAATGTCCTCATATGACATTCCAGGCTTAGGGCGTAAGCTTTGATTGGGAAAAGCTGAGGATTCCTCGCCACCCAAAATGCTTGGAAACTGGAAGGACTGAACCCATATAGTCCTTGCATCATAACCACTACAATAAGCTGTGCTTGCTAGGTTGCTTTTATTGTCCCTCTTAACATGATAAATTTTAATAAAAAAGAGAGCACATACACACAAACAATTTAAAAATATAAAATGAATTAAAAATAGTAGATAATGAAGCTCAATACATATCGAACTTCCCTAATTTGAATACAATAAAGTATACAAAAATAATGTCAGCACTTGGTGAATACTCCCCTCTTGAATAAATATTCAGGGGTATCACTCAAATATAATCTAGTCTGTTTCCAATTGTTGGATCCACATCTAAACCACTGTTATAAAACCAGGGACGTTGGGCAGATACATACAAACAGATTATACCCGATGTCCCTGGTTTTATAACAGTGGTTTAGATCCTGCCCACAAAACTAAACAAAATCAGGGCTCACGTTAACCACTGGCATTTATCTATGGCTTCCAGTGGCGAGTACGTTTTTAGGCCTGTCTAAAATTTTAGAAGACAACTCTCCTCAAATTGTCACTTCTCGTTTTTATTACATTAAATAAAATTTTACGATGAGCAGCAGTTAGTCAGATCACAGTAGGGTCTGACCCAACATGACTGCTCAGTTAGAAAAAGTAAAAGTTTCTCAGAGAAAAGGCAGTGTTTACTGATTAGGAACACCTCTAGTGGCAGTCACTCAGATGGCCACTAGAGGTGCTTCCTGGGTCAATGTTGCACAATGCAGAGCATGGTGATGCTGAACATTCCCCATAGAGATTCATTGAATTAGTGCATCTCTATGAGGAGACGAGGATTGGCGCAGTTCAGAGATTTGTGGCGTGTGTGCATCAGCCTTCCAGTGCTTTCCTATGGGAAAGTATTGGATTGGCAGACATAAAGAAGTTTGGGGGGCGAAGGGGGCAGGGCCAACCGTGACAGAAACACGCAGAGCTGGAAGAAAGGCGAGTTAAATCACCTTTCACTCCGCTGACAGGGTGGCCGGTGGTCTAAATTGTGTTTTCATAACTAGGGACAAAAGATTTGTATTCCCTTTTTTAAAACTTTTTTATTTTATTTAAGGTTTTATTAGCTTGTTTACTGGAAGTTTACAAAATCAATTCATGGAATTTACCTAATATTTCCTTGAATGCAAATATTTGCTTTATGAGCATTTCTAACTCTGTGTTTCAACATCTAGCAGTAGGGTGTATCCAGTGTTACCAGGCAATTTCTAATACTTGTAATGTAGCTTTACAAACATTCGTTTGATGTTTGTCATAGATGTAAGGACCAACATACATAGTTATTCACAGAATCATGAATTGCTGGAAATTCAAAAATAATTTCAAATTGTAGGCCAAAGTGGACAAAAGAAAACACAAAACGGGCTTGGAGAGTTTATTTTGGCCTGAAATTTGAAACTTTGTCTGAATTTCCATAAATTCAGAGTTTAGTGAACAACCCTAGTCATGAGTAGAAGTGTTCTTGTGAAGCTATTCAGAGTATAAAACAAAGATTCAAAGCTGAATGGCAATTGCTTTACATTTCCTAGCCCTGTCCATCATACCCTAGGTTTCAGAATAAAGGTATATCAAATTTTCTGTAAAAGAACACAACTTCAGTTCATTCAAGTTGTAATAGTGTAGTGTTTTCAACAAAATTGTTACTCACAAATCCCCTGGATTCCTTCCTCTCTGCCGCTGCAGAACAAGAAAGGTTTCAAATCATTTCTCTCCGTGAGCGGAAGTTGTTAGGGAGGTGGGAATGTATCCTTGTGTTTTAGTCATTGTATACTGAATCGAATTTAATTGATTACTAAAGTGTCGGGAATACAAACATGTATTCCTGGCACTACAGTACTGAGGTACCTGCTTAGGTTACTGGCCCCTCTCCAATCGCATTAAAAAGGTACCTTTTGCTCACCTATTTGTATTGTCGAAGCTGGCCCTGCCTCCATGGCTGAAATCCTCAAACTTTATGATCTCAGCCAATCCAATGCTTTCACATAGGGAAGCAGTGGGAGGCTATTGTACATGCGCGGCAAAATGCCAAGCTGCAGCAATTGGCAACTCCTCATAGAAATGCATTGAATCAAAGCATCTCTGAGGAATGTTCAGCACCTTCATGCAGAGCGTGGAGATGCTGAATGCCATGTGAAGCACCGATTACTATGCACAAATGTAAACACTTCCTTTTCCCTGCAAAGGCAGTGTTTACAGTGCTAACACTGCAAGGACATGCTAGAGAAACCAGAGCCACTACATTAAGCTGCAGTGGTTCTGGTGAATATAGTTTCCTTATAATACAGCTTTGCCTTTGTGTTGGCAAAGAGTTGAGCTATAAAACCGTTAATGCTTGATTTTAAATGTAAAAGGAAAAACATAACGTTTTCATTTGTTATAAGGCTTTTTGGTTTCATGAAATCCACAATGCATTAAATACACATTTTACATGAATGTTCTTTCAGGATATCATTTAATTTTAATTTAGGAAGGCAAATTATGACTTTTTTGTTTTGTTTTACAGGTTGCAGAACAGACCAATATTAATTTACTAAATGTGCTAAGGATACTTTGGAATGATTTTCTAGAATGTTACTCTTCTCATACACTGCTCTGCTGGTCGGTTTGGTGGGCCTTTTCTACGTGTGGATACTGCCAAGTTATTAACTATGCTCAGGGATTATGGGAAAAAGTTGCACCGTCTTCCCATTCAGACATCTATAACGGTGTGGTTGAAGCAGTTTCTACGCTCCTAGGTGAGTTCAGTGTCTTACAGGCTTTACCATCAGAGAAGCATGTACATAAACACACACCATTGTTAAACTAGGACAGCAGTAGACGGAGGTGATCTCCTACATGCAGATAATCAAAACAAATTTGAAATGTTTGGCTTCTACCCTGATAACATGCAATAATACAGGGCTTGACAAATTTGCTTGAAATCTAGGAGCCAGCTAAAAAAGTTAGAAGCCAGATTTCTCAACGTTAAAAACACAATTCTTAAAGGGGCACTATAGTCACCAGAACCATTACAGCTTAATGTAGTTGTGCTGAAGTCTAATGTCCCTGCACGCTTTTCAGTGTAAACACTAACTTTTCATACTAAAGGCACAGTTTATATTGCTGTCTGGTAAAACCTCTAGTGACAGTCACTCAGAAGGACTCTAGAAGTGCTACCCGGGTCAGTGCTGCACAGTGTGCAGCACCTACATTAATGCTCCCTGTAGGGATGCATTGATTCAATGCATCTCTATAAGAAGTTGATTGCGCAGCATTGCATTTTGCCGCGCATGTCATAGTCTCCTATTGTTTTTCTATTGGGAAGCATTGGATTGCCTGATTGATCTCAACTATGAAGGTGGGACCAGCAGTGGCGTCACCAGAGTAAGCATAAAAACACCTTTCCCAGGTGATTGGGGGACAGGTCTCCTAAACATACTCACTGACACAAACACACTCTCACTCAATGACACACCCACACATGGCAAAACTCACATTCACTCACAAATAATTACTTTTATTATTTTAAATCCACCCAGCCTCCCTACCTTTGGGAACGCTGGAGTGGATTAGCTTTACCTGGGGTCCAGTGGTGCTGATGTCATTTCTCTGCTCTGCTCCTTAGAGCGCTGTTTAGTGACACAGGGCCGGAATGATGTCATATTCCACTCCTGGCATCACTGGAGGGTGCAGAGCAGGGAGATTACAGCTCCCTCGTTGCCGCACTCATTCAGCCGCCTGCGGCCCGCTTCCGTCAACTCTAAATATGTCAACCGCCTGCACACCTCAGTCCTGCGTGAGCATACTGCCCGCCTCCAATCTCGGGCAGCTGGTCACCTCATGGGCTGAACAGGCTCACAAATCCCAGGCGCCAGGTCAAATTTCCTGGTCGCAATGGCGAGCCCTGCGAAAAAAAAAAATCTATCCATCTTATCTATCCTACCTAAAACATCAAATGGAAAAGTAAACCCTCAAATCTTTTCATGAGTACATTTGAGTATTAGAATAGTAGGTAAAATCCTTCACTGATTGGTGCTAAAGATGCCAGATATCCTAACAGTTGGTGTTTTTGACAGAACTGAAAGAACATTTAATCAGATGGATGGTAAGAGGTAGTTTGTGAGGAGTGATCCAGACTGGGACCTAGGGTTGCATTAAAATTTGTGCCTATAATAATTATCTGCTATTTGGATAGGAACTTCTTTGGTTCCAGAAGTCTGGATCTGGAGTGGGTGGTGCATACACATTTTTCATTGTCCATTTTTGTTGCAGCTGTTAACCTTGAAGCAGAAAAAGTTTGTAGGAGGCAGCATAAGAAAATTCTATTTGTAGTGAGCATGTTTGGAAAGCTACTTCATTTTCCTTCTGAGTATTGGAAGCAAAGAAGACACTTGGATAAGCTCCAACTCGTAGAGTAGGGGGATTACGGAAGGAAAAGTGTTTCCTGGATAAGTGATGTCAGTATGCGTTCTTTTGCGGTGTCGCTGGAGCATTTGCCTTTTCTGTGGGTTGATCAAACAATGCACATCAAAGGAGGTTAGTTTTACTGAGGTTTGTCTGGAAAGTGTAGGTGTGGGAGGAGTCATGTTGTCCCTTGATGCAGAAAAGAGAGAGAAGTAGGAGGAGAGAATTCAGAAAGAGAGAACTGGAGGCAAAACCTGAGCGGTGCAGATGCAGTGTGTTCCGCAGAACTTGGGTAAAGTGGAGAGGTGTATCAGTTTAACATCATAATATACCTTTTGAATACAGCTGAAAAAACCAAATAGCATCTCAAACACAGACTGCTCCTAAACACATTGCACTCAAAGGTTCGTCTTCACATGGTTCATTGACAGTAGTTGTATAACATAGGGGAGAGAGCAAGCATATGCATATTTGTGTTTTTTTTTTTTTTTTTTTTTATACTGGAATGAGGTAAATACTCAAAAAAGTATTTTAAAGATTGAATCTAAAAATTCTAAAATCCCCAGACTCTGTCAGCCTAACAGGCTGATCTGTAAAATGATGGACAGAAAACTCTTAAAATCTGTCCCTTTTTACCTTCACTTTAACATGTAAAATGCAGCTAGCAGTATAGAAACATAGATGTGACGACAGATAAGAACCATTGTCTGCCCAATTTTCTCTACTTATTAGTCCCTGCCTTATCTATAGTATTATGCCTATCCACGCATGCTTAAACTCCCTTACTGTGTTAACCTCTACCACTTCAGCTGGAAGGCTATTCCATGCATCCACTACCCTCTCAGTAAACTAATACTTCCAGATATTATTTTTAAACCTTTGTCCCTCTAATTTAAGACTATGTACTCTTGTTGTGGTAGTTTTTCTTCTTTTAAATATAGTCTCCTCCTTTACTGTGTTGATTCCCTTTGTATATTTAAATGTTTCTATCATATCCCCCCTGTCTCGTCTTTCCTTCAAGCTATACATGTTAAGCTCCTTTAACCTTTCCTGGTAAGTTTTATCCCGCAATCCATGAGTATTGCAACTAAATGTGTATAACATTAGGAAAGAACTTGTCTTCAATTCAGTTGCATGTTTTGCTGCTGTGTTGTCTCATACTGCAGGTATAAATGCCCTTTTGATTTATACATAGACATTTTATGCCCTGAATATCAATCTGTGGCATGCTTCTTTGCTTGAGACATCTGATCCTGATGTACATTTTATTTTGCACCTTATACCAGGGGTGCCCAAAAGGTAGATCCCCAGATGTTATTAAAGTACAGCTTCCATGATGCTTTGTCCTTTTAAAGACATGCAAAGTATCGTGGGGATTGCAGCTCTACGACATCTGGTGATCTACCTTTTGGGCATCCCTGTCTTATACCAATTGATTTTGGTTCTGTGATCATCTCTCTGTTTACTTTGCTTGTCAAACAACGCTAGAATGTATTGTAGATCTGGTCTTTGTATTTAAAGGACCACTCTAGGCACCCAGACCACTTCAGCTTAATGAAGTGGTCTGGGTGCCTGGTCCTTCTAGGGTTAACCCATTTTTTAATAAACATAGCAGTTTCAGAGAAACTGCTATGTTTATCAATGGGCTAAGCCTTCCCCCTAATTCTCTAGTGGCTGTCTCATTGACAGCCACTAGAGGCGCTTGCGTGCTTCTCACTGTGATTTTCACAGTGAGAGCACGCAAGCGTCCATAGGAAAGCATTGTAAATGCTTTCCTATGCGACGGGCTGAATGCGCGCGCAGCTCTTGCCGCGCGTGCGCATTCAGCCCAGAAGGAGGAACGGAGGAGGAGAGATGGAGGAGAGCTCTCCGCCCAGCGCTGGAAAAAGGTAAGTTTTTAACCCTTTCCCCCTTCCAGAGCCGGGCGGGAGGGGGTCCCTGAGGGTGGGGGCACCCTCAGGGCACTATAGTGCCAGGAAAACGAGTATGTTTTCATGGCACTATAGTGGTCCTTTAATGCTGTGTAAATAACTTTCTTTAGATGTATTTCGAGTTTGTCTGTTGATAGACCTTGTATGGGGGAGATATACTAACTTTCTTTCAAATGAAACCTCCCTTTTGCTGCGGTAGTTAATGTAGTAAAACTTTTTTTTTACTTTAAATCATAACAAGCACTGGATAAATCCAAAGGAGGATACGCTCAGTATGTCTCTTCCTGTTACCCCTGGTGTGGCATTAAGCAGAGTATAGCGCAATATCTGCCATTACATTGTTGGAGGCCAGGCTTCAGGCTGTCTTGGACTGAGCATCTCTGCTAAATGGTGAGTAAACGATTGAGCAGTGATGCAGGACCCAACGCCAACCTTTTCTAGGCACTATAACTACTTCATTCAGTTCAAAAGATTAAGGTGCCCACAGTGTTCCCTTAAGGCACGTATGAGAAGCACCTGATTGGATTTCATCATGATTGATAACTTCTAATTGGATAAAGATATCCTGGCCCTGGAATAAATGTAAGCTTGAAAGTGTTAATTTAAGCAGATCTGTCCCTTTCAGAGGTCTTTGCATACTTTGCAAAGAATTTCAAGGGTGACATCAATGGTTAGGGACTGGTAGCCATGCTATGGGTTGTAGAGGAAGTTAGGAATACTTGTATAAAGCGGCAACCACTACCTTCTTGATGACCTACTTAATCTCCCAGTGCTTCATCTGCCAGGAGCTGTGTCAGTGATGGACTCTCCCACATACGCTAGATTACAACATTAAGGTTTATACATCTTGTCTTGCTATAAGCAAGATGATGCCTGCATCGTACAGCCGTCACTTTTGATGGCTACTTGTATTCGGCAAATCTATTCGGACTAATCTAATCTTTAAAGTAACACATCTAATGATGGGGGGGGAAAATGATTATTGTTCCTAAACTCTGCACAGCTACATTCCATTCTAAGGGATAAAGTTCCCAGCATGCAATGGAGGGAGTTTAACAAATCCATAAACAAACTTCACCAGGGACTTGTTGAATTAATCCAGATTATCATCTAATTAGAGATTACTGTTGACCGAGCATTTTTGTACTATTGTGTATTTTTTTTTTTTTTTTATATATCTATATCTCTTCATAGATATCACCTAAAATGTGATGATGAGTTCAACTTTATCTATCTGACTTGATGTTTGTATTACAGGAGCTGTTGCTGTTTTTGTTGTTGGTTACATTAAAATGTCCTGGTCTACTTGGGGAGAACTGCTGCTTGCTCTATTTTCATTGATCATTGCCGTTAACGTATACCTTATGGAATCCATCGGTAGCATTTGGGTTTGCTATGTTTGTTACATTCTCTTCAGGGGCATCTATATGCTTCTCATCACAATAGCAACGTAAGTGGCTGCATATGTCTTACCTGTGTAATATAAATGCTACTTAAAATTTAATTTGAAAAAAAAAAACTCCTGCCAGTGCATCAACACCACTTGAAAAATAGCTAGGATTATAGTTAGCTATGCTCATTGCTAAGATTCTGGTGTAAGAACGTCCCCTGTGTTTCTGCACACAGTTGCTTGTAACCGCTTGCAAAACAACACTGCAGTTATAAGCAATGTCCCCTCTATTTTTTCTTATTTGGTATTTGCAGAAATTTTTTGCTCTGCAAATTCTTTTCCCAGTTCAAAATTTTGTGCACACTGAATGTTTGTGTGCATGTTAATCTGAAAATGGTTATCGATTTTAATTTTGGTACAACACAGCCTCTCTCTCATGGTTTATACCACTACATTAGTAGTTACACAACAGTTACTGTACTGTCATACATTCAGACAGACAAGCTTCTCTGCTAATGCCTGTTTTGGCATATTTTTCCTATTTGACAGTCCTTAGAAAACAATAATAAATGGGGTAAATGTGCAGACCAGGAAGGGTACACACAATTAAAACTTTTCAAGAATACTATATACTTTGCCACGAAGCTTCAGCCCCACCTTCACCACAATAAATAGCAATTTAATCCATAAAACAAATTGACCTTTTATTCTGACCAAAGATAATATTGGTGGCTTGTTGACTGTATTTGGAAAAGCATGTTAATTCCCTAACTTGGGCAGAAAGAGTGCATGGAATCCAATAAATGGTGATATATACATAATAAATGCTTCTTACACATATATCGAATTCAGCTGATGCAATTATAGGAAACATTTTATCGAGAGAAGCAGAGATGTCCTGTTACCATGGAATTTGCAAAAGGAGCAATATATTTAGCCCAATAAATGGTGAGATATACATTAATGCTTCTTAACAAACAACCCAATTCAGCAGACACCAATAACAAACATTATATTTAGAAATGTCACCTTTAGATTTTTCAAAAGGAGCTCATTGCCCAATAAATGGTGACATATACATTAATACTTCCAAACATACAGATACACACTCTCAATTGTAGACACACAATCTCATTGATTTGAAGCACTCGCTGACTGACACACTCACACATTCTTGCAAAAACACACAAAAATGAAATATTATTTCTGGTTTATTTTTTTAGGTATAAAAAAAAATAGATCTCGTGTGGGTGCTCTCCCTGGGGTCCAGTGACGAGAGGCTTCCTGGGGTCTATTAGGGAATGGATGTTTAATTTCCTCTCTGCTCCCTCTGTAGTGGGGCAGGAGTGACGTCCTATTCCGGCTCTCTGCCTCACTACAGAGAAGAACTGGAAACACATCAGCGCTCCCTCGCTGCCCCCTCTTCCTCCCACTTTGGGGTTACCCTAAGGTTGCCAGTCAGCCACCACCTGGGCTCACTGTGACAGCCATTGACCTACTCCTTACTGCACCCTCTACCTTCTAGTGGGCGTCATGAGGAGCTGTGAGCAGCTTCCGATCCTCTGCGCTCCCTCAGAAAGATGTGAGTGACCTTAGAAGGAACAGTGGTTAGAAGCCCAATTCACACGTGGAGAGCTAGGCTTGGGGTTAGCCAGAAGCATAAAAGTGTGACTGCCATCAATGCGCATGAAAATAGTCATAAAAAGTGATTGCCAAAAGACGCAAAGAAATATGCAAATCCCAAATCCAAAAAATGAATATGTGAACGAAGATGCTCAATCAACTGTATATTCTTCTAGGAAATTGTCCAATAACCTCTTTTCAAATTGTTTTCACAAATGTCTCTTGCTTCAGCATACCTTCTGATTCTTTTTTGGTCCATCTCAACATAGAATGCAAGGGAATAGGAACAAAATGTGTGCATACAAGCTTACTAGGACCATGCAAAGAGTTTTTAAGCAACTGAATTTGAGGGTTATCAACACTGACAGATTGATCAAAGCATTTTAGCTGTGATTAGATGGGTTTCTGTGCGTCTAGTTAGTTTGAGGCAGCAGCTGATCTGAGGTGTGACACCGACAAAGGCCTCTAAATTTTTTTTAATCTATTTATGGGTCCGTAATTGGCTGAAGACCGGAAATTCCCGGTTTACCTAGCATTATCCTCACTGATCTGATCTGCTAATCGTGAGATGTTTGAAGCACTGAGTGGTTCCTTCTTTGATAGCTGTTCTGTAGTTCTAACATTTTGACACCTAGCAGATCAGGGAAATGGGAAATAATATTGGAAGAAAGGTGGGCCAACAGTCACTGAGTTAAACATTAATATCTTCTAATATAGGTGCCGGCAAATGTCAGCTACAAAGTTAGTGAGGGGGACTGATCAATCGGTCAGTCTTCAGACAGAATGCTCTATATGTGTTATTGTATTGTCTGTAGCCTGTACTGTAGTGTAAACCAAGCCAAAGCTTGAACTTGTCCGTCCACATAATACCAAATTAAAGATTACACACTCTGTTTAACACACACCCATAAGTGGGGGTTAAACATGTACTTAAAGGGACACTGTAACATCTCGTTGCAGTGGCTACAGTGTCTAGAGTCACGTGGCACCATCCTTCTATTCTCTGTTAAACTGATTTTAATTGCTTAATGTTACACATGAGTCCCCAGCAGCCCATCCCCTCTGTGTTGCTCAGACTGCTGAAGCATTAGTCTGAGTAGTAATGGTCGGCTGTGATTGCTGAGTGTCAGCTGACTGCTTTCAACCTATAACCGTGCCCATACAGGTATGAATCCGTATGGCTAGAAGGAAGTGTGTAATCTCTGCCTTAACCACACCTTCCGTATATGGCAGGTTTATGGGAAGCCAAGGACCCTCATTCAGTGTTAAACTACTTTATGAACCATGCCGTGTGTGTGTGTGTACTTGTCATTTCAGACTGCTTGCGTCCAGTGGCATAACCAGAGTTAGTTGTCTGGGGCAGAGCAAAATTGTTTTATTTTTTTGTAGGCCCATACATTTTTAGGAGAGCTGGTAGGAGTCTCTCCCTGGGGTCCAGTGGGGCTCCTGCAATCCCCCAGGTCCTCACACTGATCCGGAGTGACCTCATATTCCATCACCACAGAGGGCGCACAAGGGAGCAGTCTGAAAAACTGGAAGATAGGCACTGTTTGAGTCCAGTCTCTTCCTTCTTATGGCCAGTCCTCTCCCTCTTGTAAATGTTCTGTTCAGTCTGAGGAGGTAGATCCATACACAGATCAGGCTCCACAGATTGAATACCGCAATCCCAGAGTGCTGGAGCCAGCAGACACTAGGCAGGAGCTAGGGGGGAGGGATTTTTAACAGACCGACAGCGGCATACTCTGCCTAGTGGGAAGTCTAGCCTTGACCGCAAATGGCAGTGATAGGCTGGCATCAGTGTGTTAACCTGAATTAAGTATTCTAAGCCGGTTCAGCAATAAATATTGACATTGACGTGTTAATTCCGCATCGTTAACGCAGCTCCGGCAAGAACCATCTCAAAGTGATGTGGAGAGTACATTTCTTGTCAAAGTAGGTGTAATTTGCAAACTGCTAGAGGTTTGAGATTTGAATACATTTTGTCCTAAAGAAGAGTTAATCTATAAATATTATTATATTAATCTATAGAATTTAGATCACTTGCATAAAATCAATTAAACATAGGTTTGTGCTTGGGTCCTGTGACTTCTCCTCTGTGTTTAACAATCATTGTTTTTGTGAAGTTTTCAGATCGCTGCCAATTTAAACATGGAGTGCTATGCTCTTGTGTTTGGCGTCAACACATTCATTGCTTTGGTTCTTCAGACATTAATGACTTTAATAGTTGTAGACTCCAGCGGCCTTGGACTGGATTTATTCACACAAGTAAGTGCATTTTTTTTTGTGTGTGCTTGTCAAAGTTAAAAATCTAAAGGTACATTAGTGGTAGATGCAAATAAAGAGCAATTGTAGTGTAGTAGTTGCCGTTGAAAACGGTGAAATCATTGTGCTAATTGATTTAGTTTTGCTCCAGAATGGCACATCTTAATCTCCACGTTATTAAAGTGACATGTATCACTTATTATATTATTTATATAGCGCCATCAGATTCCGTAGGGCTGTACAATGGGACTTGACAATTTGTTTTTTTTAAACCTGCAGGTAAACTTTTTTAAACATGTATACAAAACAAAGTAACAATCTTTGAAAAGTATTGAATAAATGTTTTAAAACTTACCATAAACTTTGTCAGATTGCATTGTTTGACACAACTCTCAGCTGGGCAAGTTTCTTCAGCCTCCCAGATATCTCCATTTCAGACCTGCCCACTAATGACAGAAACAGGGCATCATGCTGCTGCTGGTGGGAGAAACCCAACATCGGAACCTGTTGCATGTTCTTGTGAAGAGAACTTCCAACTGCACATGTGCAAATCTTTCAGAAATGCCCAGTTTACTTTTACAGCATTCCTTAAGATAGAACACTGGTTAGATCGGTGTTTTCCCTGATGTGAGTGTGTAAAGTACAAGAACAAATAAGCAGGTAAACATGAAAGAAATCATATTTACATGCTTTTTTTCAGCCTGCAGAGTGGGGCAGCTGTCTCCTTTAAAGCTAAACCTTTTGAATGAGTTATCTTAAAGTTATGCATCTCCCTTTTCTCAACCTAAAGAAAATATATTGGAAGCTATGTATAAAGGGCACAAAGCTGTCCATGTGTAGCAGCATGAACTGTCTGTGGCGATTGCTCCACCAAAATTGCTTTTATGTAATACTCTAGCTCTTACACCAAGGATGTATTTTCCTTTGCATGATAACTTTGCGGTACACTTTCACTGCCTTGCGTACAGCTCTAGATTTGAGGTTTAGTAATAAAACTATCCAAAAACAGATTAAATAAAAAATAAAAAAACCTGCCTTAAATGTATTACTTTTTTCCCTCAATGCGAATATACTTGCTCATTTTAAATGTTTTTAGCTTTTCTTTTCTTTTTTTTTCATTTCTGTGATCTAGGTATTCATGTTGAAACTATCACCAATTTGAATGCATTATATAGACTTTCCCTTAGAATGTCCCGCTTCTAATTTTTCTTCATATTTGCCTCATATCAGAATGGAGAATGGACTGACCTATCCTATAGCAGTGATGGTGAACCTATGGCACACTCTGTGGGCACGCGGCCATAGATCGCTAGGGTGAGGGGGCAGCTGGTGCCGGTCGGCAGCAATGCAGAGTAGCCACCTGCCTGCCCAAAACGGCAGGCGCCTACGCTGCTTTTGTATAGGGAGGGGGGCGGGATCTAGGAAGCAGCTCTCATGTCCTCCCGCGAGCAGGCTATGTAGAGCATTGACGTGCGGTCCCATGGAAACGCTCCACACAGCATTGCGCGGGCGGACAGGAGAGCTGCAGCCAGACACATACTTACTACCACAGGACCACCTGGGCTGGCTGTGTCCCACCAAAGGTGAGGAGAGGGGGGGGAATAAAGATTTTAATAATGGGTCAGGATTATAATAAAAAAATAACACATTTCCTACCTGCAGCACCCCACACACACACACGCACCCCACAGCACTCTCTCCCACAGCAGACTGTGTGTGTACTCCGGAGTGTCTGTGCGTGTATTCAGCGGTGTGTGCGTGTATTCAGCGGAGTGAGAGGAGATGCTGGGGGGAGAGGAGAGGGGAATTGTATGAGTTGTTTATACTAAATTTAAACCTCCGTATTCAGGTTTAATGCCATGTTGGCATTTTGAGGAAAAAAAGTTGGCATCTATTGTGGTTTGGGCACTCAGGCTCAAAGTTTCGCCCTCACTGTCCTATGGCATTCTAAATAGGAATTAATAAGAAGGCAAGCTTGGATGACATCAATTTTTTAATTAAACCAAAGTTACAATTATATTAGCCGTGAGATTAATGGAGAGGTTAGTTGTGAAACAAGTATTGAGCTTGGGGGGGAAGTTGCTTTAATTTGCGTAACAAGGAAGCAGACTGATGTGTAAGAAACTGGCATAAATTTATAATGGATTAGGTTTAATGTCATGTGACCTCCAGCTACGTCTAAGCGTTTAGATAAATTACATTTGTTTTATATATTTTTTTAAAATCTTTTTCACATATTAATCTTCTTGTTTTCTTTACAGTTCAAGATTTATGCTGGCTATTTTGCAGTCATATCCTTGATCTTTTTTGTGAGTGGGTTTTACCGTCTTGTAAAAAAATGCCAAAGGAAACAAGATACACAACAATCATCAGGGACTTGACAATTGGCATTGAAGTGACTGAGTGGGAGAAATGTACCTTGAATGTATGGCGCATTGGGTACAGTTAGGACTCCGGAATGTTATCCTACGCACATCTTCATTGCCTGACAATTGACACTGTTAATCCCGTCTATATGTCCATCATTCATTCATGTTTTCTTGTTGTATGTAATACTATTTCATTGGATTTTCTATATGAGGTGTTTAGATATTCATTGTATAATGAATATTTGTGTCCAAGAAATGTAACTTTAGGTATGCGAGCTCAGGTTCCTTAGGCCTTCTACACTGATTGGCCAGGTGTGGTAGTAGTCGGACCCCAGCTACAGTGTTCTGATGTCCTTGATCTGAATCTGTAGTTGGTGATATGTTTTAACTGGACTAACACAATAATCTTCACCATTGAATTATTTTTATTGTATATGTATTTTTCAATTTAATTTCAAGTGCTTACTGCAAAATGTATCTGCATTTATGTCACCGATTAATGTCCAGTGCGCATGAGGGCATTAGGACATTTGGAGTGGCAGCATAATTTTGATGTCAAGCTCACTATTCCTGCGGTAGTATCTACAAATATTATTCCATTCGAGGCCTTACTTATTATACAGTAATTTTACAATTCTTGCAAAATATAACCAAGATATCGAAATCTCCTTCTGTAATACAGAATATGTATGTAATGAGCTGCTTAAATGTGTTTCAAAAATGATTTCAAATTTTTTTAAATTATAAACCTAAAGCCATAAATAAGTGCACCTTACATGAAAGTTAATCTTCTAGGTAATAGGTCTTGCCACGCGTCATTAGCTAGCGGGATACATGCATATAGGTAGCAAGGCTGTCTGCTTTATAGGATGTTATTTATTATAGCAGGTTACAGGAATAGTGATGGGCCTATCTTTCTAGCAAGCAATACAATAGTTGCTATTAAAAGGTAGGACAGCACTGACTTATGTTGCACGTTCATCATGTCCATTCGGTGCGTATTTATTCTAAAGATGGTCTGTTATGAAAAATATTTTTGTATGGAAATGAAAATAAAATTGAATAGTTAGTTAAATGTTAGATTTTTTTTTAAAAAAACATTTCTTTTACCTTACCTTTATGTATTCAACACATGTAATGGCTATAAAGATGGTCTCCACTGTCATTTATACACAGTTTGTTTTCATTTGCAAATGACTCAGCAGTGTTCCACAATTCCTGGTGGGCCTCCAACATCATGGTGGCAGCTTTCTTCATGGAAGTATAGTTTGATATGTAGACTAAATATATACAATCAGAAGATGAGGGTTACCCATATTTTTTTTTTATGCCCACCTTTGAATCTCTACACCCAAGTGAATGTAGATTTTGTTAAAGGCAAAGAGTCAGTGAGCGAATGATGCCCTTATGGCTATTGGAGATGATATGAAAAAACCTTGAGCGAAACTTCTGCCGCAGATAATGGAAGTCACAAGTGCTCCATTTAATGAATAGAGCTAGATGCAGCAGTGTGCTTGTGAATGGACTTGCGTTATTCACTATGACAATTACAAGAAAACTTACAGGAACAATAGGTTGAAGAGGACCCTGCTCAAAGGAACTTAGTCTATGGGCTATGCACTGAACTGGGAGAATCCACTTGTACTGTAAAGGGCATAGGTTATTAGACTCTTGGCTTATCCCTTTAAACTCTGATCTTTAATATTAAACGGTTACTCCAGGCACCATGATATCAGTGATTTTAAGTTGACCTGGTGCTAGTTGTCTGTATGGCAGCATTTCACTTCAGAACACTGCACGTCTGGTGTTTAGCTCCTCTCGTACCGGAGGTGGAGCTCTACCTCCAGGAGGGTCATTAGCTAACCCAGAACGAGAGTTCCGGGCTGGCTAATGTAAATTCTGTTCATAATCCTATGCATAGAATTGCATTCAATGGATGAGTATGCAGCTGTCTGTCTCAGCCAATGAATGGCCTGTGGGATCAACTTCTGGCTTATGCAGCCCTGCAGAAGCTGGATGTTGTCAACGGCCGTAGATTCTCATAGCTCGACGGACACAGGTAAGAGGGAAAACTGTTACAGCGGGCTCTAGTGGTTATGAAGTGATTTACATCTGAAAGCACAAATGATAATAGCATTGCATATGGGATAAACTTATTGGTGATATAGAAAGTTGTGAGCTAAGTAACAAGTTTTTTTCTGTATTTGTCTAAACTGCTGTTTGTTTTAAAATTATGCTATAATGTACTTAAGGGCTTTCATTATTTTCAATCTGTAATTTTGTATATGTAAATGGATCGGTTCCTGGCCTTATATGATCAATGAATGTGCTACAAACCTAGCATGATCAGGTTTAGGTTTACATTTTCTGAGCAGGCTTTCCTTTAAAGTGCACTTGTATGGAATAAGGACAGTTCTCCTGTATAGAATAATATTTTATGCTTTTTAAATTGGTGGAGAACACCTACTTTCTCAATGTTTCTACTCTTCCCTCCTATTTACAAACCAAAAGCTGAAACAGTCTGAACATCTCTAATCTAAAATTCTGGACACTAATCGTAGGGATAATACACACAAACACTATTTACTTTGCTGTCCTTTTTAGGTTTTGTTTGGCAGATTGGGTTTTCTATATTGATGTGTATAATAATGAAAGCCATGCTGTCTAGGCACCAAATTGCAAACAAAATTTGTTTGCATAAAACAAATTTATTATAAAAATTGTGTATACACCATTCCAGGGTATTTGAATAGTGTATATACATTTTGCGTAGTAAGGCGGTTCATAAATTCATGACCTTTTTCTTTTCTTTGTTATAATGTATGTATAAATTGTAAAAATGTTACATTGTTGATATGGACTGTTGAATCTTACTATACAGTTTTCTTTATGTATAGATGTATTTGTGCTAAAATGGCAAAAAAGAAAGTGTTTTATGCTGATGGTTTTTATAATGCAAATCAAGGTGTCATTTTGATATTCAACTTTTTACTTTGTATTTCTACTTATGTTTTTATTTAAATAAAGTATTCTGGATTATTTGAGCAGACCAGTACAATGTGGTCTGTGATGTTATTCTGTTTCAGAGGCGATTGATTACACTGATTTTGAGACGAATTGTAGGCTTCCTTGTGAATGCTATATTTTTCCTGTTGTCACACCAGACCCTGGTACTGTTTCTCAACATCCTGCTATGGCAAAATGTTGGAGGCATCAGCTGATGAGTAGAATGACTTCTTTAAAATATTAAAGGGACACTATAGTCACCTTTTCAGAGAAAAGGCAGTGTTTACATTGCCCCTAGGAACAGTTTCAAGCAGCCATTCCTTAGATGGCCACTGGAGGGGCTTCCTGGCTCAGGGCTGCGCAGTAAGCAGCCCTGCCGTTCAGCGTCCCCATGCTCTGCATGGAGACACTGAATTTTCCTCATAGAGATTGATTCAATGCATCTCTATGAGGAGGTCCTGACTGGCCAAAACGAAATTTTAGCCAATCCAATGCTTTCTATCTGCTATCTCTAGGTCTTTACTCTTATGCTACAGAGGACCCATAGTTCCGTAGATTGAGCTATTTTACCTTTATTTTTTTTTATATACCTCCCACCCTATAATCATGTGGATTTAACAGCCAAAACAGTTGAGTTCTTTGAAAAAAAAAAAAAAAGTGTATGACCTTTACCTATTTTCCTCCATCCCTCCTTTTTCCCCAAAATTTCTTCTTAAATAGTTTGTTGCTGCATAGTCCTTTTCATTTACACATGTAACTGTAACTAAATCGATATGCTTTGTGTTTTGTTTTTTTGAGAAACCGTTGAATTACTAAAAAAAAAATTGCCCTTGATAGTACTTCCCTTTTAAGGAAAGGTGTAAGAAACTTAAAGATTTTCACAGAATATCTTAAGACTTTATTTTTTATTTCTGCCCACTGTCTGCATGGTGTGCACTTTTTAGTTATGTCAGAATTATATAACTATCATTACACTGTGGTACAGGTATTACACCTTTTGATGATAATATAAGGTATACCATTTTGTAACCTGCCCAATGGATATGACTATGATGCTTTACTGAATGTTATTTGTTATTGTCAGGATTACTGTATGATCCAGCACGTAGGATTGTGTTACACAGGTGACTAGTAGGTAACGTATTACCGGGCCTTAAGATGGCCGGACTAACGTACCAAAGGATAGTCAGGATAATAGCTGAGGTCAGGGAACACAGAAAGGGACACAACAATAAAGGAATGCCAAAGGTCTTGAATACCAGAATACAAGGAAGTCAAAATCAAAGCCAAAGTAAAAAAAACAGAATAAACTTGAATAAGGAACACGCTCTCTGACAACCATTAGGGAAACCACGACAGGGCAATGAGGAAAGGTAATTCTAGGTTTTTATACCTGTTTTACCTTTCTGATTGGCCGGGATCGCTCTTTGACCCCAAAACGTGCGTGCGTGACGTCATGTGTACGACAACGTCGTTGGTCATGTGAGCAGACATGGGGATATAATTAGCCATGGATCCGCAGTGGCCGGCGTCCATTAACATGCCGCAGGTGTTAGTCATGCAGATGCACGGCCGCTGACCGCAAGGTGAGTGTGAATGTTACTTTACCCCCCTGTAACCACGGCTGGTTCCCTTATTTACCACTATAATGTCTTAACGCAGGGGTCCTCAAACTCCGGCCCCCCAGATGTTGCTGAACTACAACTCCCATGATTCTCTGGCTATCTGTGTAATTCAAAGAATCATGGGAGTTGTAGTTCAGCAACATCTGGGGGGCCGGAGTTTGAGGACCCCTGTCTTAAAGCATAGAACTTAGCAGGGCTAACCATACAGATATCTTTGCCATAATTTTATATAGTTAGGAAGAGATCCTCTATTTAACATATAAATAATTGAGAATATAATATAAAATTAAGGATTGTCTTGGACGCAATAAAGTTTTGTCTTTTAGATATTTATTATATAAAAATATAAATATAGACATATAAAATCCATTGCAATAATTTATAGCAGAGTTTATAAGATTAAACTAAATGCTTGCAAATATCATTAATAGATTAACATACTGTAATGGTATTTATTAATTAATTACTTTTTGTCATAAAAAAAAGCATAATGAGCTTAATGCTTTAGACGCACCACTAGATGTCAGTAAAGCATATTTAGTGTAATGCTTTGGGGGCACCATTAGGGGGAGTGTGTAGGAAGACCTGTGCTTCTGGCAGTGACATCACAGGCCAGCCTACTTACACTGAATAAAAACCCAGATGTGAGGAGAAGCTAGCTCTCTGTTTGCCTGTACCTGACTGATCATGTAGTACCAGCTCTGACTTAGCCCCAGCCATTTGGCTGGGGCCTTGTAAGTAATATGTTTGTATTGTAACAGTTAGCAATTGTAATAGCCTTTTGTATAATATTTAGCAACCAATAGTGTTTTGTGTAGTATTGTATTGTATAATTATTGAAATTGACATTCCGCTAGCATCTGTTTATTTATTATAGTTATATTAAATATACATTTAATATTACGTTTTGTGTATTTTCTATCCACATATTCGACCATAATACCATGAATTATAAAAAATATTAATGTTGTTCCGTATTGCTTAATTATGTATTAAGAGATTAATATTCATATTTAGGTCACGACCACAACACATACCCTCCTGTCATTTTAAGATGGAGCAGCGTCTATCTCCAAGTCTCTCCTCTGTGTCTTAACATTTAAAAGTACACCTATTTATACATTGGGTGTCTTCATTTTAGGGTCACTATAGTTGATATATGAAAAAGTAACACTTCTTTTACTTTATTCATTTTAGGATCTCCCTTAACTTGGCAAAAATACAAGGCTGTAACTAAAGGGTGTACACGTAATGGAAATTTTCCTGGCTTAGGTCAAGATGGCATCTTAAAGTCTGAACATCTTTATCTACTTAGGGTTACCACGGTATATTATGTACTGAAAGAGTCTTAGCATAGCCTTGAAGCTTGTTTATGCATTATTGTATTTCGTCTGGGACAAAATGGCGTAAACATATTATGCACTGAAAGTAACTAAGAGGTTATTGCTTAAAGAAACAGTTATGAAAAACATGATCCATTTCTAACACCTTGTCAGTTTGCAATCTCTCTTAAAGACAAAGTACACAGTTTAAGTAATACAATATTTGCATTTGCCCATAACACCCCCACCTGAAGACCGCCTACCGGGCGGGCAGGACCAGGCTTAAGAGGAAATTTAGCATGAAAATAGCGAGTCTTGCACCAGCATGGTATATAAGACGCCGGGACCCAAGAACGGTCGGCTGGTCCATAACCTTTCCAATCCACTAAGTACTGCAAAGTGCCCCGAGAAAACCTGGAATCCATTATGGAGGAGACCTCATCGTCCTCCTGTCCAGAAACAACCAAGGGAGGAGGCGGGACACTTGGGACAGTATATTTATTGGAAATAAGAGGGTTGAGTAAAGATACATGAAAAGTATTAGGAATTTTCAATGAGGCCAGAGAATAAGAAACAGTATTGAGTCTTTGAAGGACACGAAAAGGACCAAGGAACCTTGGAGCAAACTCCATGCTGGGGACTTTAAGCCTGATGTTGCGCGAAGATAACCAAACCCTCTCACCCACTTGGTAAACAGGGTTGGCACCTCGCAGTTTATCAGCATAATGCTTAAAACGGTCTGCAGCAGTCCCCAGGGCGGAGTGAATTTTTACCCAGGTATCACAAATGGAAGCAAGACTGTCATCCAAAGCAGGAATAGCTGTCAGAAAAATACGCCGGGAGGACAGTAGGATGCTGGCCATTATTAACAAAAAACTGGCTATGGCCAGAGGAGTCATGGTCAGCATTGTTACTAGCAAACTCAGCCCATGGTAGTAATTTGGGCCAATTGTCTTGAGTGCTATTAACAAAACAACACAAATACAATTCTAAAGACTGGGTAGCCCTCTCAGCCGTACCATTAGTCTAGGGGTGGTAAGCGGATGAAAAAGACAATTCAATCCCTAATTGCTTATTGAAAGCTCTCCAAAACCGGGATACCAACTGAGAACCTCTATCTGGTACAATATTGTGAGGGATGCCATGCAGACGGACAATCTCATGTATAAATTTCAGCACCAGGTCTTGTGATGACTGCAATCTGAGTGGGATGAAATTAGCCATTTTAGAAAAACGGTCAACAACCATGAGAATAGTAGTATAGCCATTAGAACTATTAAGTTCGACAATGAAATCCATGGACAAGTGGGACCATGGAACATCAGGAATGGGAAGAGGTTGTAACAAGTCACAAGGAAGTTTATGAGGTACTTTAGAAACCGCACAAATAGAACAGGCCTTCACATACTCCTTAACATCTTTCCTTAGGGAATCCCACCAAAATAATCTCATGATTGCGGATGTGGATTTATTAATTCCCGGGTGTCCAGCAGTCACATTGTTATGGAACACTTTCATGACATTTAACCTCTCACCGAATGGAACGAACAATTTGTCTTGCAGTTTACTGCAGGGCGCCTAAGACTGAACCTCCATGATGGTGTCAAGCAGTGGAGAAGACCAGGAAAGGACAGTGAAAGCAATGATAAATTCAGGGGGAACGATAGGGGATGTTTCTTGTTCCTGTATAGACTCAGTATCAAACTGTCTAGATAAGGCTTCGGCCTTAACATTTTTAGAACCAGGTCTATAAATTATAAGAAAGTTAAAGCGAGAAAGGAACAGAGACCATCTAGCTTGTCTTGAAGATAATAGCTTAGCATCTCATATGTAAGCCAGGTTCTTATGGTCAGAAAGGGACACAATGATAAAGGAAAGCCAGAGGTCATAGATACCAGAATACAGGAAGTCAAAAGCAAAGCCAAAGTAAAAAAACAGAATAAACTTGAATAAGGAACACGTTCTCGGACAACCACTAGAAAAACCACGACAGGGCAATGAGGAAAGGTAATTCTAGGTTGATATACCTGTTTTACCTTTCTGATTGGCCGGGATCGCTCTTTGACCCCAAAATGTGCGTGCGTGATGTCACGTGCACGCCGACGTTGTTAGTCACGTGATTGGACGTGGGGGTATAATTAGCCGTGGATCCGCAGTGGCCGGCGTCCATTAACATGCTGCAGGTGCTAGTCATGCATATGCACGGCCGCTGACTGCAAGGTGAGGGTGAATATGTTACAGTTATACAGATATATGTTGCTTTGCTTTGGAGCATTTAGCCCAAACTTCTGTGGCTTAACTCTTGACCAGCAGACTTAATGTCAAAGTCGCAGAGTCCGGACCACCTTTGAAGCGTTTGTGCCGCACTTTTATCTGCGCTGCACTCATTGCATCGTCACCGAAAGCCTTCTGAATCCTCTGAATAGTTTTCGCGGAGGATTGTTCAAACTTAACGGAAAACTTGATGCAGATTTGTTGCTCTACTTGCTCGGTCATTTTGAATGCGACAGCCACACAGTACACATGCTCACTCAACGGCGTCTTGCGCCCCCACTGACTAGTACAGTAAAGTCGTCGTTCACACATTCGCATTCCATTTCACTCTTCTTGGCTGCCTGATAACATCGATGTCATGCAAACCCTCCTTGTAAAATATACAACGGCTGGCAGACCTCGTATATTTGGTATTTTGTGTTTTTGAGGCAGCACCTTTGTGAAGAAAATAGACTGAGTTTCTGTTCGTGCTTTTCTGCAGCATTTCGTTTATTTTGGATTTATTGGTTCGGCAGTTTAAAACTACCGAACACGACCACCCTCCTGGCTCATTAACTTCAAAGAGAACCGTCTATTAAGCGCTCTCTGGGCGGCCGCCATTCGTATAGCCGAATGCCACGTGGAACAGAAAACGGCGGCCATCTTGTTTACATGCAAGGAGGCAGCGGGACTTGGTCGTTGAGTGTCCGGAACTAAAATCGGACACTCGACTTCCCGAACCACCGCTGAAACATACGAACGCCTGCTTCCTTTAGTTGCTGAACAGCCAGGAGAGCGCCATTCGGTAGTTTGCTTCATACGAACAAGGGGAGAAATCGCTCCTATGATCAAGGAGGATCCATTCGTGACTTTATTCGTTTTTATGCCATTTTCTGAATTGACCGACCGCAAATGCTGAATTTGTGGAACTGTTTTGGGCAGGAGCCTCATGTGGTCGGTAAATTATGACTTCCCCACTTTTTGAGAACCCCTGAACCGATCTGGGTGAAATTTGATAGGGATACCTGTTGTATGAAAGTGTGTTTTAATTTTTGGGAAAATTGTGTGCCCTCTGCCTGGAGCTAATTGGGTTATTCCTTAACTTATCTCAATATTTCCCAAGCAGAGAGAGGGAGTGTATTACTGTAAACCTGTATGCTGATTGGTTATTTCCTTTGTTTACTGTGGGGGGTCCTCTTGCAGGAGGATTCTCATAAAAGCCAGTGTGGCATCAATAAAAGTTATTCCTGTTACACCCTTCATGAAGTTGGGATGACTCTATAGATTAGGAAGAGGTTATTAATATGTATATACATTCTAACTAATATTATTATCAATTCATTTATCCTCATAATGCCAGTATATGCTCGAACTGCTGTATTTGTATATCCAGTGCTCAGAGCTTTCTTTTTTGTTGTAAACTTAAGGGGGTTAAGCCCCAGGACATTTCTGGAGTGTCCATACAGGTGTTCTTTTGGGCTCCACAGTAGGTTGGTCCTTTAAGGATCTAACCTTTACTAGTGGTTTCCATTTCTATATCTTCATACAAATTTATACCATTAGACTTCCTTCCTTGATAAGACTGTTGGAATATTATATGGATTCATTTTATTTTTTCCAATTTGACAAGTTTTTATTGAGTCAACGAAGAGGCAGTTGGGTACAGAAAAGAAAAGGGAAGGGGTGACTACCATAACCCAGAAGGTACGTTACATTACCAATGGATACATACATGACAAATATTTGTTCGGTAATACATACATATTTTCAATCCTATGCTACACGTAAGGTAAATAGGGTGCATATCATCGGGGTGACCTGTCTGTGCGAGTGGTGCCATGTAGGGTTTGGTCTCAGACCTTGTGCCTCTTAATGTGTCTACATTGTGCCTTGTCTTGTTACTCTGCCCACTTCAGGTGTCTGCGCAGGGCCTAACTATTGGCAGGCCAAGTGGGCCTCTGGTTATGGTAGTTTAACTAAGACAGCTTTTATCCATTCTCTCGTCTAGGCTACTGGCCAGTTCGGCAGTGCTCTGTGGTGAGTTTCCCCCCCCCCTTTTTTTTTTTTTTAAATTGCATGTGCTTGCATAGTGGTAGTAATGCCTCCCTTCTAAAGGTAGTATTCAGATGTATCCAAATCCCACCTGTTCCTCCCTCGAGTCTGCCTGTCGCTTGGCTCATTTTCCTTTTAAAAAAGGGGAGGGGGGTATTGT